ATATAAATATCTTATTTTATTTTATTTATTTATTTATTTATTTATTTATTTATTTATTTATTTATTTATTTATTTGTACAGGCTTAATGATTTGTTGCAGCAGAGTGGCGATGTCCCGCCATCATCAATAAGACAAGAAATTCATCTGCATGCAAATGATAGAAAGTTAGCTGCTGCTGCTGCTACTGTTGCTGCTGTTGCTGCTGCTGCTGCAGTTGTTGCTGTTGCTGCTGCTGCTGCACTTGTTGCTGCTGCTGCTGCTGTATTTGCTGCTCTACTTGATGTTATTGCTGCTGCTGAAATCCTCCATCCCTTACATACAAACCCTAAACTGCCTGCTTTCTTTGGTTTGCTGCTGCTGCTGCTGCTGCTGCTGCTGCTGCTGCTGTTGCTGCTGCTGTTGCTGCTGCAGCACTGCATATGTGGATGTAGACAGCGATTATGCAGGAGCGATCATCGATGCTGTGCGAGACTGGACAAAGCTGAATGTACACCCCAAACCCTAAACCCTAAACCCTACTAAACCCTAAACCCTACTAAACCCTAAACCCTAAACCCTAGAAATTGTGCAATCGTCAGCACTCATTCTCTTAACCGTGCATAACATCTACAAAAAAAATCCCTATAATATTTTTGCTGCTGATGCTGCTGATGCTGCTGCTGCTGCTGCTGCAGGAGATGGATGAGGAAGCAGTATCCATACGTCCTGCTGCATCAACCCCTCCTCTATTAGAAGAGAGTTCTTATCGTTCAAGGGGCCCCTTTGAGGGTTCGAGGGGCCCCAGGAGGGGGGGCCCCCGTGGGGGTCCTTACAGAGAGGGGCCCCCTCGGGGCAGGGGCCCCCCAGGTAGGGGCTACTATGATAGGGGGCCCTATGATAGGGGGCCCTATGATAGGGGCCCCTCCTCTTCGTTTGGGGGTTCATATGGGTATAAAAGGGAGCGATGGAGGAGTAGAGTTAATAAACCCTAATCGCTAAACCCTAAACCCTAATAAACCCTAAACCCTAATAGTTAAACTAAACCCTAATAATATAACTCTTTGTATATGATGAGTATGAGGGTTTAGATATTAGGGTTTATATATAACATACGCCTACCCTCAGTAATATTAGGGTTTAGGGTTGTTTGTAATAAACCATAAACCCTAATACTATATATATATACCCTAGGGTTTAGGGTTTAGTTAGGGTTTATTTGTTATGGTTAACTAATGTAAACTATCTTTCTTTCTGACTAAACCTTTCTTCTCTCCTAAACCCTAATAAACCCTAATAAACCCTAATAAACCCTAATAAACCCTAATAAACCCTAATAAACCCTAATTATTGCCTAATATAAATAAATAAATAAATAAATATATAAATATATCAATAAGAAAACGATAAAAACATTAAATTAAAAGAAAAGAGTTTAATTAATTAATTTATTTATTTATTAATTTATTTATTAATTTATTTATTTATTTTATTTCCCTTTATTTAATAAAGGGATATATATATATATAAACATATATATTTATAAATAAACCCTAATAATAATAAAATAAACCCTTAAGGGTTTATTATTATTAGGGTTTATATATATTTATAATATACGACCTCCTATATTACCACAAACCAACCCCTCTCCTCCTCCTCTCCTCTCTCCTGTCTCCTCTTTCCTGTCTCCTCTCTCCTGTCTCCTCTCTTATCTTTCCTCTCCTCTTTCTTCTCTCTCTTCCTTCCCCTTACATCTACAACTACACCACAACAAGTATATATATACCTCTCCCCCCATATATCCATATATCTATCTAGCTAGCTACCCATATATCTATCTAGCTAGCCATCTAGCCACCTATCTAGCTAGCTAGCCACCTAGCCACCTATCTAGCTAGCTAGCCACCTAGCTAGCTATCCAATTAATATAATATATTGTTATACTAAAAAAAAAAAAAAAAAAGGGTAGTATTTATGTCCATAGAATTTTCTTAACCACCACCACAGGAGTACAAGGAGTACAAGGAGTACTGTAGCAAGACTACAGCAACAGGAGAATAATAATAATAATAATAATAATAATAAGAATAATTTATCCAACAATAATAGGGTTAACAGGTGTATCATTTTTATCCTCATAAGGAGGAAAAGATCCATTAGTTTGATCATAATGACCTCTATCCCTTATATGTTCATTAAAATGTTGATCGTCTCTTGGTATATATCCACAAACTCTGCATCTTTTTTTAGGTATAAATTTATTAATAGGGAATAATAGATTATTCTCTATTAAATATAATAAACGATTAGGCATACTATGAGGAACAGATTGATATATTACTGGGGTCCTGCATTCCTTACATATATGATTATATTGCCTCTCTATACCATTTATTCTTTTTATCTTTATACATTCATCTATACGTATTGTACTTAATCTAATTATATTCTTATCTATACTTAATACACGTGCATTATCTGTTCTTCTTCTTGGTAATTTATCTATATCTGCATCCGTTATTAATACATTTAATGCACATTTCCAGCATCTTATTACCTTAAATTTATCCTCCATTACATACTTATTTACATTCGTAAATACACGACTTGTATACATCTTCTTATTAAAACGATGTGCACGTTCAGCTTCTGTTTCCCTTTCTCGTCCTCCTCCTCCTGATGTTGTTGATGATGATGATGCCTGTTGCGACATCTTTCTTACTATTATTTATATACTATTAATTATATTATCTACTTTTTTATTAAAAAACATAAAAAAAACAACAAAATATACACCGGAGGTCTACCTATATACATACAACGATTCTATACGATCACCATCAGCCCAACACCATCAACAACAGAAGAAGCAAAGAACGGAGGATAAACAGATATCCACAAGATTCTTATGAAGAATATAACCAGGAAAAAATTAAATTAATCCATAAAAAAACAGAAAAAAACAGAAAAAAAGAAGAACAGAAAAGAAAAAATCAAAGAATATTTCTTATGATAAACAACGAGCGCGAAAGAAAAAGCCGCACGCCCTACGAAATTTCCGGTGTACAGACACCTCTACAGGAGAGAAAAAAATATGAATAATGTATCATATAAGCTCCTTAAAACGGTAAAAAATCATACTTCTTCCTTCTATTTAACATTATTATTCTTTATTTGCCTTCTTATGACCCTTTTTTTATCTGCTGCTGACGCCGGCTTCGCTACTGCTGCTGCATGCATGCACTCCATGGTGTTGCTTTATAACCCCCCTTATACCTCCACCGAAGCCCCAAGAGATGGCAGAAAAAGATATATTAGTGCTTCTTCTTTAGGCTATTTAATTACTTATTTCTTTTTACAAATAAATTCTTTTTTCTGCCGTTGTCGCTTCTCTTGATTCCTGTTCTTTACCCTATTCAGGTGTACGTACACTGGAGGGTCCATACATAATATTGTCTTTTGAGCGATTATTTTTTCTTCTTGTATTTCACCACTTTATATTTATATCCTGTACACCTCCATATACACCACAAATATACCCCATGACTGTCTTCTTATACCTTAGTCTTCCTCACTCTTTTACGTAAAATCTTCTCCTGCTGCTCTTGCTGCTGCTGCTGCTGCACCACCTGCCAGTCCTATCTGCTGCTGTCTGCCATCTTCTTTTATTTTCTCTACTCTTAAGGAACTCATAAATACCATTAGATCAAGTCAAGGGACCACAGATCAATACACTTGCTGCAGCTGCTGCAGCTGCAGCAGCGGCAGCTGCAGCAGCTGCAGCAGCAGCAGGAGCAGCAGCAGCATTGTCCCAATCAGTGGCATATAAGCATCATTTCCATCATCGTCATTAGCAACAGCAGCAGCAGCAGCAGCAGCAGCTACATCTGCAGCAGCAGCAGCAGCAGTAGCAGCAATTAATGTCATTATTTGTATAATTGTATTAAATATTTATTATATATATTCTTCTTTCCTTGAGGTGTATGTACACCTCATGTTGCTACTAAGAGAAATAATTTTCTGCTCATTTGTATTAAGGAGCAACACTTTTATTTATTTATTTATTTTATATAAACAATGAAGAAGGTCTTGTATTTCTACGATGGTAAGCAGATAAACAGCAGCAGCAGCAGCAACAGCAACAGCAGCAGCAGCAACAGCAGCAGCAGCAACAGATGTAGCATGCATCATGCATATATATATTTATTTGTATTTCTTTCTTTATACTTATATATTAGCAAGAATAAATATATGTATATATATTTACATTATTTTTATTCATTATTCTGTGTCTCCCTCTTCTGCTGCTGCTCTTGCTGCTGCTCTTGCTCATGCTGCTGTTGCTCTTGCTGCTGTTGCTGCTGCTGCTGCTGCATGCATGCATGCATGCAGAGGAGGTGGGGAATTTTTTTTACGGTCCTGGTCATCCAATGAAGCCCCATAGAGTACGAATGACTCATGACTTACTAAATGTATACGGGCTTATTAATCATCTAGAGCTTATGGTTAGTCTATTTATTTTATTTATTTATTTTATTTATTTATTTTATTTATTTATTTATTTATTTATTTATTTTATTTATTTATTTATTTTGTTTATTTATTCTTATTATTTATCTTCTTTGCCTATATTTATCTTTATTTGTTTCTTTATATCTGTATCTGTGTCTTTCTGGTTTCTTTTTCCTTCTCTCCTTCTCCTCCTTAATATTTGTTTATTATTATTATTACTATTATTATTATTATGTTATAATTAATTCCCCTTTATTTTTATTATTTATTTATATATTTCCTTTCTTTTCTTTTTGTTTTTCTTCTTTTCCTCCCCTATGCTGAGGTGCCTATACACCCGAAATATGAATGGATGATTCGTGCAAGTTGAATTTCCTGCTGATTCCCTTTTCTTTCCTCTCTCTCTCTCTCTCTTCATGAATAAAAATAAATAAATAAATAAATAAATAAATAAATAAATAAATTACTTATTTATTTATTATTTATATTCTTTTTATTTATTTGTTTGTTTCTTCTTTTTTATAGCTTCCTCCTCATCCAACGGTGAAGGCATTGACAAGATTTCATGCAGATGATTATATTTCTTTCTTAAGATCAACAGCAGATATATCTTTATTAAATAATAATAATATAAATAATAATATAAATAATAATATAAATAATATAAATAATAATATAAATATACCTTTTTCCTCATTAAATGATTCTCCTTATTCATCTTTTTCCTCTCCTGCTCCCTTTAATACTCCTCCTTCTCTCCCTCCATCTAAGCAACCTCATCATACACCCCATCATGTACAAGGCCTACCTATAACAGCAACAGGAGGAGGAGGAGGAGGAGGAGGAGGAGGAGGAGGGACATCATCATATATAGGCAGCAGTAGGAGTGTATCTCCCTCTAATACATCATCATCATCATCATCATCATCATCATCATCATCTGCTGCTGGAGGTGCAGGTGTATCTGGATCTACAGCAGGAGATCCTGCAGATACAACAGGGGGCCCCCAAGGGGCCCCTTCCTCCTCTGTTGACCATTTAAGTAGATATAATATAGGGGAGGATTGTCCTGTCTTTGATGGTCTATGGGAGTATTGTAAGACATACACAGGAGGAAGTATTGAGGGAGCAAGAAGAGTTGTAAGAGGAGACTATCAATGTGCTATTAATTGGTATGTTATTAGTTGCTGCTGCTGCTGCTGCTGCTGCTGCTGCTGCTGCTGCTGCTGCAGATATGTATTGACGTTGTGGTTCTGCAGCAGCAGCAAGAACAACATCAGCAGCAACAGAATCATGAATATTTGTTCTTTCCTCTTACCTCTATTTTCTCTCCTTTTTCTTCCCTTCCTCCTCCTACTACTACATTTTCTGTTGCTGTTGTTGCTGCTGCTGCTGCTGCTGCTGCAGGGCCGGAGGTCTTCATCATGGTAAGAAGCATGAGGCAAGCGGGTTCTGTTATATAAATGATTGTGTCTTAGCTGCATTAGAGTTCCTAAGATTTAAACATCGAGTTTTATATGTTGATGTGGATATACACCATGGAGATGGAGTAGAGGAAGCATTCTATACCTCACCAAGGTAAATAAATATTATTTATTTATTTATTTATTTATTATAGTATATTACTAATATTATTATTATTCATATATTATTAAGGGATAATAATAAGAAAAAGGGAAAGAAAAAGGGAAATTTAACGTCATATATCATATTATACATCAAAACAACATTTTTAGGGTTTAGGGTTTAGGGTTTAGGGTTTAGGGTTTAGGGTTTAGGGTTTATGAAATGTATATAAATATATTTGTATTCAGGGTATTATGTTGTTCTTTTCATAAATATGGTCATTTTTTTCCTGGTACTGGGGCATTAGAGGATATAGGCATGGAGGAAGGAATTGGTTATAGTGTTAATGTTCCTCTACATGAAGGAATTGATGATCAAATGTACTCCTCTCTATTCGTTAGGGTAAATCAATATATTTATTTATTTATTTATTTATTTATTTATTTATTTATTTATTTTATTTATTTATTTATTTATTTATTTAGTTCATCAATGCATGTATATGCTTGCATGCATGCATATATGGTGGTAAAGAAACATTATTATATAAGGGTTATTTACATGCATGCATATGAACACTGTGCTGCTGTTGCTGCTGCTGCTGCTGCTGCTGCTGCTGCAGGTGATGGATCAGATAATGGATATATATCGTCCTGAGGCGGTTGTTCTTCAATGTGGTGCGGACTCAGTAGCAGGAGATCGATTAGGTTGCTTCAATTTATCCCTTGATGGTTAGCCCCTCCTTCTCTTCCTTTGCTGCTGCTGCTCCCTTTCCTTTGCTGCTGCTCCTCCTCCTCACTCCTCATCCTCCTCCTTATCAAACACGACCGTCCGACAGTGGAGGCATTTTTAGACCGAATTCTCCGATTTCAATTACTTCTTCCTTGCTGGCCTTACTTCTTGTGTCTATGCAAATATCTATTTATTCATTTGTTTATTTATTTATTTATTTATTTATTTATTTATTTGTCTATTTATGTATGAAGGTCATAGTGAAGCTGTCCGCTACTTTTGCAAGGCGGGTGTTCCTGCAATATTTCTTGGTGGTGGAGGATACACCTTAGGGAATGTACCAAGATGTTGGGCTAAAGAAACAGGATATATTCTTGGTGTTGATCTCGATCCAAGTCCGTTTTTATTTATTCCCTTCTCCCTCTCCCTTGTTTATAACCCTGTGTACTCCTCTATTGGATGGAAACACCTAAATATTATTTATTTGCACCTTCTTCCTGCCAACCCTAATAATGGTGGTATATTCTGTTCTTTCTTGTTAACAGAAATACCTGAGAATTGTATCTATCGTGGATATTATGGGCCAAATTATGAACTAAAAATTCGCACAACGAACATGGAAAATCGCAATGACGAGAAGTACATTGATTCTATTGTGTACGTCTTCTACCCAATTATGATCATATATTACCCATCCTTCGTTGATATCTTTCTGACTTACGGTTAGATACAAGAGACTAACCACCCAACAAGTAAACAACACATTGATTTGCTTGATTGTTATTCCTTTCTGCAGGCAAAAGATAAGCACAACGTTACGCGAGCACGTTTTCCCTATCGGAGGGCAAATAACCGCGAGTGGGTCTATAGTATCGCTGGCGAAAAAACAAGATGTTGAAATTCACGCATATTATCTTTCCTCACTAATTACCTACCCATTTCACTGCAGTATAAGTTGGTCAATGTGTCTATGCGCTAATATTTGTTGTTTATCTATGCAGATTTTCCGGATGAAGAAAAAGAAACCGGAGTTGTTTTACAGAGCGATCTCGAAGAAAACGGTGAGCCATGCTAAGCCCATGGAGATTGCCGCATAAAACGACTCAAAGCCCTCTAGTTTTTGAGCACATTGCGTGATTATGTTCTGCTTGCACATTTTGGCGTCAGTGACGCAAGTGCCAAGGAGAGTCGCAAAAGTGTCACATAGCGTTAAGCTGATGACAAATAGGGCATATATGAGAGTGCAGGAATTTGGTGTTTTTTCTTTTATTCTTGTCTTCGTGTTGCAGCTGATAAAAATGGTGATGTAGAAGAAGATGCAGAACATTTTTGCGTGAGTGACAACCGCGATCGCGCATAATGTGGTCCGAGGTTTGGGACCCTGGCAATATGACCGGTGGACACCGTTTTGCTTGGGCAGTGCTGGATGCCGGAATAATGGCACCACCCTTGAATGAATATTATTTTGATGGATTTTGCTTGTAGTGGCAATTAGAGGTAGTAGGAGCCTCGCTCTAACAAAAGTTCCGTATGCCTATGGCAGGCGGGTGGTTCTCTTCCTGCCATCTGCCGGTTGGTCATGGCCTGTTGAGAGTAAGGTCCGCTTGCTGCGGTGGCTAACGTCCCCGCATCCATCATGTAATGATGAAGTTCCTAGATCGATAGGACTCTCCTTTACAGCCTCCTGGATGCTAACGGGTGCCTGGTGGCCTTCACGATACGGCAGCAACATTTTGAACGTGGGTTTCTCCAAGGGCTGCGACTCTATTATGTACAAAGAAGGCCTTTAGGGGCTTTTGTTTAGGTCGTGCGCGTACCATTGGCGTCTGCGACGGGATAGAAGGTGAATGGGGACAAGGCGACTCCTCGGGGCCGCCAATTTCAACTTGGTCACTTGGACACTCTGTGATTCCGGGTGAACAGGCATCCGTCATCCAGGATGCCTGAAGCAGCCTGACAACGCCTGAATTTGTTTTAAGCCCCTTAATGATGGGGGCAAGTTAGGCATTTAGTACCTGTATGATCGCCGCAACCAACGGCCTGATATTATATTACCACGTGAACAACTTGAAGTCATGCTGCACTGTGTTGAATTTGGCACACCATATTTTCTGCAGACAGTTGCAGAACTTCGACATTTTCTCCGCAGAGGCGTGACGGGACACTCCCTACATAGTGGCCGTCCTCCATTGAAAAGAAAAGGAGGCTGGTTTCTCCTGGGCTCCGGAGACCTCTTTTCGTGGGTTCATTCGACCGGTCGCCAACAGGTTTGGGAGAGTCAAAACTTTTGGGCGTTCCACTAGCCAGTTGTTTATCAGGGTGAAGCTCCAATGCACTCACGAATGCCACCTCGGAGCTGCCTGAGGTAATAATTATGACAAAATCCACAACTAGCCGAGAGTTGCGTGTGTGCTAGTTTTTACATTGAGCAAAGATCTCGCTATTTCCTGGAAGAAAATGAGAAAGGCACTTTAGAATAGATTGCAAATTAGACGTACTGTGTGATACATGCGATGGGCACACGACTAACAGATTTGCACCAATGCACTGCTGGCACAAGCCAGCTTCACGAAGACCTGAGAGGGCAATCAGTCTAGATACTAAAGAACAATTTTTGCAAGATAGTTACATACCATTTATCTGAATGCTATGTAGCTTGTCAAGTTTGTTACTCTGGAGAATCCAGAATTGAACAACATCAGTGGATATCGTAAAAAATCTTCGGTCTCTCTGTATCGGCCAGAATGTTACTAACTTCCTCAAAAAGGGGAAATTTGCAGTTAACCTACCCGATCCAAATATTTCTTTCCCATAACTCTCTCTGGTGCCTGCATTCCTCAGTTAAACACCTGAATGACCCTTTTGTTGGAGAACCCCGCACCTCAAAAAAAACGAAGCCAACAGGTGAAAAGGAGTCGCGCGTATGGGGGACCTTCATACTTGCTCCTTCATCCAGGAGGTCTATGACTCTTAGGCTTGCTGGATTCAGAATACGAAGGTCAAACTCTGTTGTTGCAGTAACTAAAGGGATGGAGCTGACCGCGGTCTTGCTTAAAAAGAAGCTTCGACACCAAGAGTCTGTGGCAGCAGTTCAAGGCAAACTTTCAGTACGCTAAGCTGTACTTTCATACTCTAGAAATTCCACGCGTCTATATTGGTCTATTGGGATATCTATTTCCGCCTGTCGAGGTCATATTCACACATAAGAGTTTATTTTTACAACAATTGTGCTGTTGCTGCTATATCACCACTCGTCTTCCATCTTCTACGTCAAACACAGACGCAGCGAAACACCGAGCATTCGTTGGTTTGAATAGTGCAGCAAGTCCATGCGAAATTCTTCATCGATGCATTGAAATTATTGCCCATTTGCTTTTATTGTGCACGTTAACAGTACCTGACTTCTAGACAGAGGTTCTGAGAAATATCATGTCCACCATTCTGCACTTATAATAGCTTGCCTTCAAACTCCTCTCCATGGACAGCAAACACAAGCTTAAATTTCGTATGATTCTGAAAATACAATTCATGAATATTGTTTCTTCAGGCTTGAAAGGGCAAACACACCCAGAATTGGAACGACTGGATGTCGCCTTGCTGTGCAGCTAAGATGACCCCGTTTGCCTCTGTTGGTTTAGCAATGTTAGCACTGCGACTGAAATGAATGTGAAGAATTATTACCGTCAAACTCGAAAAACGCGGGATGGGATAGGACGACATTTGCTTAAGAGTTCATTAAATAAAAGCGTAATTCTTCCTCATATCGTTTTTCGCATTTTTCCTACCGAAGTCAGAAGCAATAGCTGGAGTTCTCAGTTGCCCTATCTCCAGAGCCTACAAGATGCGTAAATGTTGGGAGGTATAGTGTTGCCAAGTTGTGCATAGAGAGTATCGTACAGAGGCAATAAATATTTGGCACTGTAGGCCACCGGGATTAGGCTCGAAGACAACCGCAACTGTGTTGTTGCTTGCATGATATATCGCTGTTGTGACCTCTGCGCCGAAAGTTGTTGATTCAGCCACCCCAAATGCATGCTCTAAGCCGTCCTACTTTTCCACGGAGTTACTGGGTTGAGGTCTGCTAGAAACCTTGCTGTTTCCTGCAAAGGCAGCGTCAGGTGTATTCATGCTACATTTAATGAGTTTATATGGTAGGCACCGAATCATAAGCTCGGCAGACGCCACCTTCAGTGCTGCAAACGTCGATGTAGCGAATTTGTTTGTATTTATGCAGCATGTTTATTATTTTTCCTTACACAATGACCGCACATCTGGCGGCGAAAATTATCTCCTTGATTTTTCTGCATGCAATTTGTTAGCGCGTGGAAAACCACCTATACAAATAACGGGTTCACTACCTGTTGCCCAGAAGTGCCGATGCAGGCAGGGGCTGTTCAAAAACATCGATGGTTTTCACCTAAAATGTTGCATGCAGTTGAAGATAACTATGACTTTTTTTGTGTAAAATTCTAATTGATCTCACTACGTTTAGCCTGGAAACGATTGTCCTTTCTTGCGCCTTTCCTCGTTTCTGTTCCAACACCTTGGAGCGAGGCAACAAGCTGCCGTGCCTCTTTTGTGAAAGAATGTGCCCCAGCATTGTAAACCAAGGGTATTTCGTTGCAGTTTGAAAAATTCAGGAAACTCGAAATAAATCCAGAAGTTCAAGCTGGCCGAGTGGCCATTACGGGAAGTTTCGCAAAAAAAAAAAAACAATCGAAGGAAAATTCAGGAAAAGAATCAACGCATATTACACGGAGAATTCAAACGAGCGGGAATAATGAAAGTGACAGAGTTCTGTCTACCCGATCGCTCCGCGATGTACATACGTTCAGGTGTTCCCCATACACCGCCAGCCGCAATGATCGTGGATTGTGTGCAATCCTCTTCATGAGCGAATGTGGCGAATCCAAGGTACAACGCGTCCGTCAACTTCCTTAAATGAACCTTTTCGTTGATTTTCTAACTTCTCCACACTCTGAAATAATCTCCCGTTTCATGCGTGAAACGAGAGATTACAATTATATTGAAGGAACCACAGGGTGGTGTGCGTCTTTGCTTGTAGTTCGTAATTCATAAATCCACGTAGTTAGTTTTTTCATAATATTCCTACAACAGCATTATTAATTAATACTTGTTGATCATAGAAAATTTCCGCTTTCCGGTAAAACAGATTCTGTACAAGTATGCGAGTTGAAGGAAATTTGAACTATCGGCGGCGCGTGAGTAAATGCGTCACAAATCGTACAACAGCGCGAGCGAAAGCACGTAAAGCAGAAATCTTGATCAACTCCCACGCCATCTTTGCATATTCACGAGCAACTAATGCGACCTGCTGCATGGGTGTGGCAAGCTCCGTTCTATATGGATTTGTGGATCTTGCATTGTCCGCCTGCATGCGCATCCGTTCATTAGATGTATCAGCTGCATGCCTCGCTCGTGATGCACTTCTCGTACCCCTAGGGACACCAGAACCTGCAAACGAATTCACATTAGGCACAAATGAGAATGTTTTCAGCTATTATCAGCAACTAACAAGGAAAATTCATTAAACACACGAAACGTTGATGTACACACAAGGACTCACCCGTATCTGGACCAACATCTCGTTCCGTTGTTTCTGTTTGAATACCTCCACCTGGGAATCGTCGTGTTGTTGTTTTTCTCTCAATTACTCTTCCTCCCCGAGTGAAGTAACTGACTTGAGTTCCAACTTCCTGTCTTGATCCTTTGACAGACAGCACAACATAGCAGCGCACAGGCAACAATGTTTCTTATATGCTGAATGCACAAGAATGAGCATGCAACGAAGGAAACGTTAAGCAGAGCAACACCTCATAATAGACTTAATATTACAGAGGAATAAGTCTACCATTGGCATATTTCCTATATGTGTGTGTACATACCTGAAAAGCCTCTAAGAAGCTCATAGATTTCATGATCATCAAGGAAGCTTGTAGATGATCTTGATCCCATAGTATGTTCAAAGATATCATTTCTTTGGAATGGCATTCCTCTCACCCAATGTGCTGCATTTTGTTGATTTAATGCCTGTTGTAAAATCTGCTCTAAAGAAATACCACCAAATGCACGACGAAATAAATTCTCAGCCTCCTCAGCAGACACGTGCGTAAAGTGAAAACCACCTGCACACACAGTAGAACATTCATATATATACAAATATATAAATATAAATATAAATATAAATATAAATATAAATATAAATATAAATATATATATGTATATATTTATCTATGCATGATGTGGCCACTATATGTATATGCATAGTGCTTGGAGTTTATTCCTTGCTGAATCTGCATGTGTAATTGAACAGAAGTATGTATTAGATATGAATAATAGATATATGGTTGCCTAGTTTACCATTTGTAGACTGGAAAGGATGAGCATAATTAGTTTGTGTTGTTCGTCCTCCTCCTCCTTTTCCTGTTGTTTGTTGTTGATTATTAAATGAATAATTATAATGAAGAGATGAATCATATTGTGATCTTTTATTTGGATCAGAAAGTGTCTGATATGCTTCACTTGCATCACGAAATCGTCGACCTGCTTCCTCTCTATTATTTGGATTCCTGTAACAGCAGCAGCAGCACCAGCAGCAGCACCAGCAGCAGCAACAGCAGCAACAGCAGCAGCAGCAGCAGCAGCAGCAGTATAGATTTTTTATAAGAAACACTATATAGATATTTTATAAGAAACAATAATATATATTATATGTAACATATATATTAATATATATAGAGGTGTATACAGGAAATAAATAAATAAATAAATAAATAAATAAAATAAATAAATAAATAAATAAATAAATAAATAAATAAATAAATAAATAATTACCTATCTGGATGCCATTTGAGTGCTGTTTGTCTGTATGCTTTCTTTATTTCTTCTTGTGTTGCATCTTTTTTTACACCTAATATTGAATAATAATCAGGAGGGGAGGAAGAAGAAGAAAAAAAGCAACAAGAAGAAGAGGAAGAAGAAGAAGAAGAAGAAGGAGGAGGAGGAGAAAAAGAAGAAGAAGAAGGAGAGGAAGGAGGAAATAATTTATTATTATTCAATAAAATAGAAGAAGATGCTAATATAGAAAAATTACGTGATTTACTAGTACTCCATGATTGATTTGCTGCTGCTGCTGCTGCTGCTGATAGTTGCTGCTGCTGCTGCTGCAGCAGCAGCAGCATAGATAAAGAATTTTTTCTTGTAGGAGAAAATCCTGATTCCTTAAGTCTTGTTAATACCCCCCAATTCCTTGCTGCTGCTCTTGCTGCTGCTGCTGCTGCTGTTATTGTTGTTGTTGTTGCTCCTGCTGCTGTTGCTGCTGCTGTTGCTGCTGCTGCAGTATTGGGTGTAAGTCTGGTGTATTGAGACATCATAGGAGGAAGGAGAAAAGATCTAAGAGAACGGATAGTCTGTATATGCACCATTATTACTCCTTTTATGTCTTTTTTTTTATATTTTATATAAATAAATAAATAAATAAGAATAAAAAAAGAATTATTTTCTTCTTTCTTCTTTATTGACCCCCTTATATAGGGGTCTTTCTTGTTTCTTGTGTAGGTACTGCATTTGTTGAATATATTTAAGAAAAGAAGGAAAAGGGTATAGTCAAGAGGATATTATGCACTAAATAATTAAATAATATATTTATTAATTATTATTTTATATTTATATAAAGAAAAAACAAAGAAAATGAATATTTATTGGTGTTTTTTTTCTTCTTTTATAGGTAATAATATATGAATACTGCAGCAGCAGTTGTTGAACAACAACAAGAAGAAGATAAAAAAGAAGAATAAATCCTTCATTAATTTATATTTATTATTTTATTTATAATAAATAAAATAATAAATATATTTATATTTATATTTATTTATTTATTTATTTATTTATATCCCCCTTATACACCGCAAAAATTATTTCTTATACTTATGCAAGACTTAAGAAAGCCCCAAAACACAGACCCATCTGCATGCATTCTTCTTCTTCTTTTCTTGTTATTATTTATATAAAAAAAAGAATATTTAAATATAATTAATTAATTATTAATTAATTATTAATTATTATTTATTATTTATTTAATTGTATTTATTTATTTATAGCAGAGAGACACAAAAGAAACATCCCCTCTTACTACCATGGCATAGACACCACACCTAAGCCATACACTAGTTAGTATATATATATTATAT